AAAATGTTACGTTTAAATTTATTCAATACACCAAAAACAAAATAGATTTATCGTGCATATCATATATTGGAATGTTATAATATAGATTTCAGTATCGACTTTCGGTTTAAAGATCGTTGTCGTAGCGATATATCGATATATCCGTCATCCCTATTTCCGGCGGAAGTCATATGTATTTTCCAAATCAGGCTAGTTTCTGACAAAGCCTAAAACTCAACATTGCCTAGATTTCGATTAAGATTTCCACCTTATGTGTTACTCGGTATCTGTCTGTCACTTGGTTCCCTTTTTTGTACATCTGTGAAGCATAACGACTTGGTTTTTGCAACATCTCAATGCTCGCAATTCATAACTCAAACTTCAAGGAACGTACATATCTCTCTTCCCTGGCACGAATCCGAGAAAACGTACAAAACATATATGTACATATATGTATGTATAGGAAAGTGTTCCAGGCACCCATAAATCAAAATGACATGACCAACTCTCGGCATTAATATTTCAACACCATAAATGCGGCGTCAATTCGCACGGGGGATGATGATGAAAGGGGAAAGGGGAAAGGGAAATTGGAGGCACAGCGTTGACAGTGGCATGCACAGCGATGTCTGCAAAATTGTGTGCATAATAAATAAATAAATATGAAAGGCCTTAGAGTTCCCAGAGCTCAGTCAATTCCAAAGTGCAGCTCACTCACTCACTGCAGGCATCAGATCAAATCAAGGCAAGCGTCCAAACATGAAGCATTATGGGCATGGAACCGACCCGAAACCTACCAGACGAGCCGCTCCACGCTCGACTAATTATGGAAATGTCATCAGACGCTGATGGTTTTCCCCCATGTGAGGTCCAACCCCTCCCCACACCCCGCGGGCGGTGGCTAAAAAGGAAAAATTGCACACGTTTAGTGCGCGCAATTTGCTTTGCAATGCGTCAACACATGCGACAATTTCGAGCACTCGCTAGCACTTGCATGGCAATTATTTAAACTCCTGCGATCCGCTCCTTTTTCTTTGTTTTTCTTAGTCTTTTTGTTTTTAAAGAAATTACAATTTTCAAGCCGTGTCGGGATCGGGGTAAAGGCGAGGACAGACATCGGTTAAGACAGCCAGCGACGCCTCTGAAGTGACAAAAGTTCAGCTCGTGGGTGGCAAAGTCAGACAAGACGGTGGCGTTGCCTCCATGCACAATGATATATGGTTTTGTCGGCTGTCATTTGGTTTTGAAAATTATTGTTATGGCCTGGCACTTTGGGTTTGGGTGTCTTTTGTTTATACACTAACCGGGCGAATGGGTAATGTGAATTACTGCTCCTTTTCAAGAGGTTTAAAGATAAATACTGATTATTAAAAGTAGTTCTTTATTATATGAGCAAATTGCAAATTAACAATCTCTTTCAGTTTGATTAAATAAAAGGGTAATTTACATATTGTTATAAAGCTTTTAAAGGTAACATATAAGGCTTTAAAATCGGTAACTTATCTGTATTTAGTTCTTCCATATTATACTCTCAGAAATTTAAATTTATGAAAAATGTATCCCATATTCCTATATTCAAAATGTGTTGTTAAAGTAAATTACGTTATACAGGTTCTTTATTTATTAATAAATTTGATAAATATATATTAATAACGACTAAGTTATTCTAACACTTTCTTTGAAAAAAACTTAAATGATAATAAACATTTTATCAATAAGAATTTAACTTTGTTTTCAAAATAGTGTGCATTCTTAAAGGATAATTTTTTGTAATAATTTTTTAAAAACAATGCCCATATGATGTACCTATTTATGTTTAATATTAGTGATTGTATCAATCAAACTTGCGTTTTTGTTAAACTAATATAATTATTACGAAGTAAACTTAAATATTTTTTTAATGTTGAAGGAATTTAGTAATATATTAATTAGTATATTTCTTAGCTTTCATGTAAATTATAAATATCAAATAAGAAAGATTAAGAATACATACAAAAGTGAGAATATTAAATAATATTATTTCAAAGGATTTTAAGCCACACCTAAAAAGTATGCTATAGTTAAGTGTCCTTATAATTGAATTGACTTTTAAATAATAATACTTTGTATTTGGCTTAAAACCAATATTTATACTTTTATGTATGTTTTTATCAAACAACCAATGTAAAATAAGACTAAAATAAATTACTAATAATTATGAAAAGTGATAAACGAATGCGGAATACTGTTAAATTTATTGAGTTCCGAATAAGTTAAACAGTATTCCGCATTCGTTTATCACTTCCTCCGCTAAAGTGTTTAGCATTTTCATGTCATTTTTTCTCTTTTATTTTTACCTGGGTGCCTGGCTGCCTGTTGCTGGTTGCAATCGTAAATTTCAGTGAATTACGATTTACCTGCTTTCGCACAGTGCCTGCATGTCTGCATTTTAAACACACAGTCAACACTTATCACGAGTTGGCTACAAGCAGCCGGGGGTTTTAATGGCCGCCAAGATGGTGGCAGTGACTAAGTAGGATCACCAGCAGGCAATGTGTGTGTACTCACATCGGGATATATCTTACGCAAGACTTTCTTTTCCAATTGGCCATATACCCTAACCATTTACATGCTGACCCCGAAACTACTATGTAACATATATATGTACATACCCAAAAAGTAATATTTTATTCGGTCTGCTCTTCGCTTTTTTCGGTTATTATGGTTTTATTGTTGCCTCGCGTGGTAATATTTTTGTATCTTTTGGCGATTTTTCATCTCCATTATTTTGCAGGAAAAATAAATTTGCAAACGGTAGAAGAAATATTTTCACGAAATCCCCAACCAATAAATTTTCCCCACCCACCCAAAAGCCATATTTCCTTTTATTTTCTTTCTTTTCTCTCTGCAAAAGCTTGGGTGACAAGTCCAGCCTGGCCGAATGGGTTTGGGTTTGGGTTCGGGTGGCCGGGTTTTGCTGCCTCCAATGATAAATGGTCGCGGCTAGAGGGAACTATAATGGCCAGCGCGATGGCGGTGGCTTTCACCTGCGATGTGCTATGGAAAAAAATAATAATAAAAATGAAACAAGAATGGCAAAGGTATTGCCCAGGGAAGGGGTTCGCCGCCGCCGAGATCTTCATCCTCGGCTTGTCAAAAGCACTGAACGTGAACATCACTTATATATAAGCCCCATGCCCCATGCCTCATGCCACATGCTCCAATCCCCATCCTCTACCTCCTCCTTTTGCCCAGAACGATTCTCGGCTATATATGTGGCGAAATGGACATTTATGAAAGAATTATTGATGCCAACGCCAATATGTGTGTGCGTGGGAGGTCGATGGGGTGGGTCGTTCGGTGGGTTTCCTAGGTTTATGGCATATTTTTTATGACTCCCGTTCGGGGGAGAGAGACGGTGACGGTGACCGGAGTCTGAACCATAGTCCTGGCCAGGTCAGAGGGCGCTCCTGACCCACCCCCTCCTTCCCCTCCCTTATAATACAATAAATTGTCAGGTGGGGCGGCTAGCTGTCAAAATGCAAGGGCATAACTCTCCGCTCTCCCCTCCGTTGCCCATTTTGGCTCTGCCATCTATGGCAAAAACGAAAATTTTAATTTATCGACGCCATATGTGGGCAGTGAGCAGCGAGCAGCGAAACGGAGGAACTATTGCCAGTCAACTGTTCCACCTCCTCGAACAACTTCTTTTTGGGGAAATATAAAATTTGATTTACTGCCATTCCGTGTCCATGTCCGCGTGTGTGTGTAGTAGCCGTTCCAGTAGCCCGGCTGGTATAATTTAGCGGCAAACGTAACCGAAATGTTATGATTTGTGAGCCAATGGATAGGTATACATTCATACATACATCTATTTTTTGTTGTTTCTGGTTGGCTTTAGCTTGAACTCGGCTATGACTTAAAGTTTAAGCCGTTTGGTTTTTTGGTTGCCAGCCAAGTTTTATGTGTGACAGTTTTTCAGAGAAGTAATCAGAGTGAGTCGAGAATGAGTGCAGAGTTCAATACAAGATAATTAATTGATTGCAGAGTCATTGATTAACCATGATAAAGATAAACTTTATGTATTAATTCGTTACGTAGAACTATGACCTAGAGATCTTTAAGGTTGATATTAAGGATGTGATGTGATGTCTTAAGGATGTTTATAGTGAGAAAAAGTCAGAAATTAAATATTGTCAAAAATATTGCTCTAAATTTCATATCAGAAATATGAATTTCGGTGTATCAAAGATTTTAATATCGAAAAGAGTTACATTAATTATTTAAATATTGTATTGATATTATTGAAATAATCAAAAGTATTTCCAAAATATTCTTCAATTTATTTGCATTTTTACCAAATATATATTGTTTCGGTATATCGATTGATTCTTTCCAATACCACATAGAAAATATTATACCTTTGGTATACAAGACTTCCAAGTAAAGAAAAATAACTACACCTTATATATCCAGAATGTACTATTTAACGTTAAAATACCTTATTGATAGAATAACAAAATATTGTTAAATTTGTGTATTCTTTTTTACCGTCTTTATAGATCTGATTTACGGGATTATTGCATATGTATCGACATTTATATTAATAAAATTTAGAATCAAATATCTTTACAGGATCAAATCAAAATCAAATTAAACGCTTTAATAAAAATTGAAAAAGAAATAATACCAGAAATTCGTAAAAATTTAAAAGTGGTATAAATACTATATAAAAATATAAATTGTTTGATTAACTTTAGACAGTTTTCTATTATCAAGTTGACTTAAAATGTTTTAGAACTTAGTCTTCATGATTTTATGACCTCCAGTAAGTGAAATCTTTAATAAGATGCTTACTTTCCTTCCTTATGTGAGACATATAATCCTATTAATGGCGTTCTGCACCCTTGGCTCCCATTGATTTATACAAAAAAACAACGAATTGGTATTTAATTTTCTTTGATTTATTGATTTCTTTGTAGTGACTTAATTGAACATTAAAATATTGTTCATAATTACACATTTATGTATAGTATGTATATATATAGATTTAATTTTAAGCTGTTACTCATATATATATATTTTACAAGAATTTTACAACTTTAAGTTTTTGGACAATCTTTTCATTTCGTTACTTCTGCAATCGCTGCTGCACTTGAATATAATAAATAAAATTAAAATTACCATATGCATTTAATAGCAACCACGAAACGAACGAGCGATATGGAGCTGCTGCACTATATCCTTCGATCTCAGATATTAATAGCTAGACGCTAGACTCCTTAAGCTTAATTGTAAACACATTTGTATGTAGCTACAGTACATTAGATCACTAGCTTTTCGTTTCACGAGTGAGTCACATCATAGAGTAAGGGAGGCGACCAAAGATACCAGTTGCTCCGACATACTCTCTGGGTCAGAAGGTGCTCCTTAGGTGCTCCCTACTCCATGGTCATATACACCAAAACCTTGCACAAATACGACGACTCAAGAGAAGGGGGTTTGATGGGTTTGACTGAAAGCCGATCTCCTCGGCTGACCAGACCCGGATCCGGATCGGGATCCGGAGCCCGCCTCATCGTCCTACTACGGGTGCGATGACCCCATCCGGGGCCCATATAACGAGTACGGTGCAAAGTACTGGGCCAGCGCCGGATGTGGGGGCAGACCTGACATCCCCTGCATCCCCGGCGGTGCCAATGAGGGCGGCAGCATCGATGGCTTTCCGTACGGATGATAGCGGGCCGCCGACAGCGGACTCAGCGGCGGGGTGGGGTAGGTACGCTGGAACAACGGATGATTGGGCGGAATACCGCCGGCGGCTGCCGCACTTAGCACCGCGTCCGGCACGGAGGCTGTGTGCGTGCGTAGGTGCTGAAACAGGTCGTCGGAGGTGCCAAACCGCTTGCCACAATAGGCGGCATCGCTGCCAATCCAGGAGCACACGTACGGCATCTGGGAGGCGGCCGCCAAGGCTGCCAGCTGGGCGTGGTAGGATGAGGCAGCTGCCGCCGCTGCTGCTGCTGCACTGGACGAACCTGAGCTGCCTTGAGAGTTGGACTTGCCTCCGCTACTGCTGCTGCCACCTCCACTGGCGGCCACCTCGCATTGCGGACATCCCGCTGGACAGGGCTGACCTGCTGCCTTGTTGATGTAATGCGGACTCGCAGGACAGCCGGTGCAGTAGGGATCGCGGCACACATTAGGAGTGGCCGCCATCATTGAAGGATCCGCCAGACCCTTCATTCGGGCGTAATTCAGATATGGATTCATGGCCGACGCCTTGAACATGGCGTGGTGGGGTGACATCAGTGAACTGGCGGCCATTAGGTCCATGGAATAGGGGCTGCCGTAACCTGCAATGAAATTAATATTATATTTAAATTAATATAGAAACTAGGTAAGCTATAGTTAAGTATGACCCCAAAGTGAGGCACATGGATATGGCAAATTCTATTCGTATATAATCAAATTTATAAAAAAAAATTAAACAGAGCGGATTGCAGAATGTTGAGAACAACTAAAGAGAAATGTTCAGAGCAACATGTTGGGCAGCAACCATTGTTGTTACCAACATATAAGCTTTATAAGTTATCATGTTATTTCCCTTATATTTTTGTATATACGACAAAAGTCTAATAAACAAGCTTCTTGCGGTGTAAATTATTGCTTACTTCCACCGATAATATTAGTTTTTCCCTTGCTTATAAAACATTTCCTTATTTTCTTGGCTGTTTTCCTAAGCTCCGTGCTTCTACTATATTATATCCTTCCAGAAAAAGCTGTTTTCTGCACTCACCTGCCGGATAATAGGATGCAGCTGCTGCCGCCGCCGAGGCAGATCCTTGCTGGCTGGCCGCATGTAGAGCCTTCACATAGCTTGCCTCCTTGGCGGCGGCCAAAGCTGCCTCCTGCAACCGATTGGAGCTTGCCGCCGCTGCTGCAGCTGCTGCTGCCGCTGCTGCACTGGGACTGTGCATGGCTGCCGATTCCTTGGAGCTGCTGCGTCCTGGCGTGGATGAGGCGGGAGGCAGGCCGGGACTTCCGTTAAGCTGGGCAGCCCCGCCACCCATCCCGGAGGTGGGTGTGCGTCTGAGGGATCCCGATCCAGCTGCCGTGGGTGACTCTCGCTGGGAGCTGGCACTTTGGTTTGAGTCGCAGCGCTGGCCGCCGTTTGATGTCGACTTTGGCGTCTTCACCCGCTGGCCACTGCTGGTGAGATTTGTGGCGCCACAGTCTGAGGCAGTGGCGGCTGTGGTGATGTTGTTGTTGGGCTCGTAGGGCTTAAAGGTGCTCGGTGTCGGCTTGCTGCTGTGGGCGGGCGGCAGCTGCTGCTGCTCCACGGAGCCGGTGCTGACGCTGGATGAATGACTGCTAACCGGCGAGGATTTATCGCGTGCTCCGCCATCCGACGATCCCCCATCTGGCCCAGGCCGAACCCAGAGGCCTTTGGCTGATGCTGCAGCTGCTTTGTGGACTTTTCGATGTTCGCCGCCAGCAGCTTGGGGTTCGTGGTGTCCGCTCCGATGGCGCTGCATGTTTGCGCCAAAAGCGCCAATGGACTGCTTTTGTTGTCCAGCTAAAGGAGCGAAAGGAGAAGAGGAAATTGGGGATGAGTAGGAATAAATATAGAGAGGGAAAATTCCATGTGATATGCAGAAAATATCCAGGAACTAATATTTCAATTGAACAATATTATTTGTAGGCAAAATTCGTGTACGAATATAAGCATTATCTTTGAAACAAGTCATCTGACTTAAAACGAGTTATCAGGAATCCCCTTTTAACAAAATGTACTCATATTAATAATAAAAATATTTAAAATATTAGATCTCTAAACTATTGCTATCGATACCTAGTATCATCGAGTACTTTTACCATCTCTAGCCCTGCGTGCGATGCGTTTGTCAGCCATATCGTGCGTTTTGCATCGCCGATAAGATCTCGTCCTTATTGTCTTCGGCTCGACTTTACTTTGTTCGCCAAACACTTTTTTGCTGGCCCAGATCTTAATCTTTCACAACAAACTGGTTCGATCTTAAAGGCACTCGTGCTGCCCAGTAACCAAAGCCTTTCACAGCGGCACACATAACAAGCCTTTATTCGCAAATATATTTACAGTCCCAGAAAACAAAAAATAAAATAAATTAAGGGTCCATTAAGGACTTTGAAAAACAGAGAACAAGAAGATATACCATATACATTTATTTATATATATATTCATACATATAATAATGTACATTTAAGGTCATAAAATAAACCAATAATGCCATTGCGGTGTTAAAAAAAAGTTATTATACCCTTGAGGTTCCCGAGGACGTAACTTACAATTGACGTAATCTTTAATATTTATCGTTATAATTTACTTTATATTGATATTTATTTATAATTAACCTTGCACAATATTTGCCTTATTTTATTACCAATTCCATTGCAATTCTCTGGTTTGACACAAATTGCTTTATACTATCAACTGTTTGATAAGCTCTTGGCCAAGACTGTAATCCATCCTACATATTTTTGTATATTTATAGCCCCAACTAATGCTCATTTTATTTAATCAGCGTTCATCGGGTTTTATGGACATTTATAAATGAGCAATTAGGCTAATTAAATTATTAGCCATTTGTGATATGCAATAAAGGAGTACTAAAGCCAAGTGAAGTAGGAGTGGGGCACTCGTTACTAATAGAAACCACTAAAGTATAAAGTCATAAAATATATAATTAAACCGATTGAAATATATAATTGAACAATATATTATCAGTGATCGGTTTGCAAAAATCTATTTTGAATTGGATTATCATACAATTTTCTTATCGATAATATTAGCAACGATATTATATTATATATTTGATTTATGTTCAGGGGTTTGTACTATAAGTAAAGAGAATTTGAATACCTTTTTGTTAAAACTTGTTTAATTTCGTTAATCCTTATTAAAGAAAGATTGTGCAGTTCGATCGATAGGCAAAATGATCGATTACATGATTAATACGTTTTTTTTTGTATTATTCTTTTAATTTATAGCTTTATGCTCATTGCTTTGCAATTGAAGACTTCACCTTATAGGTGTGTTGGCAATCTTTCTGTATATATACAAGTAGTTAAACCATAAAAACGATCGTATATATCAGCATTTAGAGCTGTAAGAGTGAAAATTACCGATTGAGTAGTACAAAGGGAGACCGTCGCAGTTATAAGTGTACATAAATGAAATGAATATTGCCCACTCACAGTTTGTGCCATAAACACGAAACACGGTTTTTGCAATAAAATCCATTTCGCCGCATGCCATAAATTATGGCGCACACAGAGGAGGCGCAGGAGGAGCAGCGGGGGGAGGAGCCGGAAAGGGAAAACCCGAAACTGAGGCAGAGTTGAGCGTCCATAACTCATCGCACAACTACACACACACATACTCGTACACACACACACTGGCAAAGCGAAAATAATGACGTACACTCTGCATGGATGTATGGGAGCGTAATTACGCTTATGCCCAACTGGCGCAAGTCATAAACTACAAAATATTGAAGCTTTTATAACACTCAATGGGCCGCCATAAATTATTATGATACTATTGTAAAAATGGCAGAAATTCTTATCGGTACTTAAGAGTACTTTGGATGCCCTATAATCAGTGTGGCTAGTTAGTGTTTACATGAAAGAGGTGCCATTATATTCGAACGGGATAAGTAGCCCAGGATGCATAAAGAATTATATAGTTTTTTACTAAAGGAAATATAATATAATAATATAATGAGGAGACTGGCAATTTCTTAAGGGAATATTTTTCATCTAAAATATAGCTTGCTTATAAAAGTAAGAATTATTAAATGATATATATAATAATGAATAATAATATATTATATTATATGTTAATGAAAGAAATGCAGTATGTTTATTCATAAAAGTCTTACTAAATTCTTTATTAATTTAAGTCTGATACTTTTTGATTAAGTTGAAAGTAATTAATAAATAATTCTGTTGTTCAATTTAAACTGATTGTATAGTATAATAAAATTGTTTAATATAATTATATAATAATCTTTTTCAATTGCAGATATCTCTATTTTAATTGACTCTATTGAATCTAATATTTTCTGTTTTAGCTGTAATAAATTAAGTATATTATTTAATCAATATAATTTACGTTGCGAAAGGTTGTATTATCTTTTAAAATATTATCCATTATCCCTATTATCTATTTAAATTAAAATATAAAATATCTTAAGCTACAGAAAATTATAGGGTATAGCACAGCTCACTTGATGAAGTACATGCCAAATTATTTGATTTACATGTGTGTGTGTGGGATATACCCAAGCTGTGAACCGGGCTCCCCCTTAAAGCCAAACACTCCGCCCTCCGACACTTTATTAATTATTGGCGCAAACAGAGGGTCGGAGGACCTCAGCCCCGTTCGTCTCGATTTTAGCACAATTAGTCATAATTTATTATCATGTTGATAAAGTTTCCGTATTGATTTTCAGTATTACGCATATTCGTGTCGCACATTTGCTGTTTTTGTTTGTGATTTAGTTTATAAATATTTCCCATACATGGATAAAATGAGCCATATGGGACTTGTTTAATTTACGATTGGACAATAGCTCCATAAAGTGTAGATAAATACATATATTTTATTTATATGAAAACGTCAATTGGCTTGAATGAAGCAAAGTGGAATTATTGCCCTGTCTCTGACCTGCTTACAACAATTGAGGCCACATTGGGGGTAATTACGACCATCGACTACATAGTAACCTAAGCTGTGAAAACCATTTGTAATGATGCCTTAAATATTCGTTTTTTATGAACACGCTAAAATTTGAAAATACAAGTACATCCAACTGTGGAAGTAAGTATTATTAGCACTTAATTAGCACATAAAAGTGGAATGGAGAACGGGAAACGAACAAAAACGTAATATATGTATAAATTATGAATAATGTGATAATTAAAATGTTACACCTTGTGAAAAAGGTACATATATACAAAACATCGGCTCTAACAAGGTAAACAAACAACAACCCAGAACAACAATAAAAACGAGTGACTACGACAACACACAGTCAGAGCAAGTTGAAAATAAAATCCCAACTAAAATGCATTTAGTTATGGCTTTTGCACAATCAAGTCACAGCCGCTTGTTAAATGCGTATAATTTAATTAGACACTTGAAACTAAACACACTCAGCTGTCATGATTTGATTTAATTTTATTATCGGCTTTAAATATGTATTTTAATGCTAACTAAGGTTGGTGTTAGTAAGTTATGGAGTAAGGCGATGATATAATATGGAAATGATGGGTGTATTAACGAATTTACTTCAGATATTTATTAGGAATTTAGGAATTACTTTACATTTAAGTGTAGAAACCTCTGTTTTTCCCTCTTCGAAAAGTATGACAGTTTGACATACTTTTCTTGACTTGAAACAATAAAAAAGAGTCTCTGGCACACAAAAGTAAATAGAAGTAACATAAATTATAAACAAATAAATGCGGCACGCGAAGCTTTCTGGGTGTCGAACGATGAAGTGTAGCCCATCAGACACACACTTGAAGGGCCCTTGAAAAATCATACTTTATGTTAATATGACAAACAAAATGTTGAAGTTTGTGGCATATTTTTTTGGTAAATCGAACTTGAAACTGTCTTCGATTTGAGGGGGAGGTTAAAGGGAACCCATCATGATCAATTGTTTGCTTTCGGCTATTGTTTCTTAAAATGCGAAGCTTTGAAAGAAAAATAAGTATGTGACGTATGGCACTTGAGTTTATTTTGGGGAAATTAAAGTAAAGTAGCTATAATGTATGTGCTTCTTACGATATTTGATTTATTTTCCAGTTTACAGCAATAAAGTTCATCCTAAATGGATTTTTGGGACCCATCTCGCCTTTCCTTTCTTTTTTTTATCACATTTTCGTGGCTATATTTTGTGAAATGCAATTTTCAAAGATTCTGCGGCTCAGGAAATTTCGTCCCCTTTGCCCTACTCTCGCTCTCGCTCACATTACGATACAGAAATAGCTGCTATAAATATGAATTACAGGATAAGCATAAAAAGCGGAAATTGTGTGCCGCCGCCATCGTCGTCGACGCTTTGCATAAGCCAACGGCAACGTCTTTAGCAGACCTTTCCCCCGAACCAAGTAGAAGCTCCATACAAACCTCACAGCCCAACCCAGTGCCTGAGTCAGTTTTTAAGACGCCCTTGCAGTTTTGCTGGGAATTATAAAATAAGCGATAAAAATGGTATAAAACTTTATGCAGACTTTGTATTTTCCTTCCTTTCTTATTTTTCTTGGGACACTGGGAGTGGGCCCTCCAGTCGTTATACATATTATGCATGTATATTATATCATTTTGCCTGTTAACACCTTTTTGTATACGCTTACTTATATACACTTTTTTTTTGGTATTTGTCGTTGGGGTGATAATAAATTTGGCTTGCTTGGGCGGGAAAAAGAGGGAGCCAAAATTAATGTATAAGAAAAATTTGCATAAATGGCTATAAAAATATTAAAAGCTTTGAGGCCAAGTTGAATTAAATGATGAATCATTTAAGG